ATACATAAGAAGGGGAGGAACCCCAGGATCCCTTCCCATTTCATGCAGAGTGAATGCCAAACTCCTTTTCTCCCTAGCTTCGTCTCTCACCATTCTCCTCCTTGCTTACTGAGTTCTAGCCACATGTCTCTCTGCTGTTCCTTGAAGACTCTGAGCGTCTCCTTCCTTGTTACCTCAACCTAAAATGCTCTCTTTCCAGGTATCCGTATGATTAATTCCCTCCATCAGGCCTCAGCTCCTCTGAAGTGCCTTCCCTTGTCTGCCTTATATTAAATAGCCACTGCTTTCCTTTGCACTCTATCCCCTTACCCTTGGTTCTTCTTCATAGCATGTACTATTTATTGTCTGTTTCATACAGTTAGTGTCAGGACTTTGTTCTCTGGTGAATGGCTACCCAGCAGTTAGGCATTCAATAACTATATGTTGAATGACTCAGTGGATTCCCATTTTCTTTCTTAGGGGCTTCTTCTTCTGCCTAGAGAAATGGTCTTCAGGCCACCCTTGTTCTTTAGCCTGTGGAAAATGAACACTGCGTTCTGTGTACCAAATGTTTCTACAAAGGTGATATGTAGGGTTCTTCCCTTTTCTCACTGCTCAGATTTTTCTGTTGCATTATTCTTTACCAGTCATGCAGATGAGTCTGTTTTCTAGGTAACTTTTTCTGTGTTTGGAACTAATGCTTTCCTTTTCCTGAATTTGGTATCATTATGTAAATATGTTAACAGTTTGGCACTTATTCCTTCATTCAGCTGGCAAATAATTATTGCAGCAGATACTGTGAGCCAGGCTGGGGTACCAGACTGTATGCTAGGGCTTAAAGAGGTGGTGAGCCGACATTTCCCTGGAGGAGCTGATGGCTCAGTGGGTGGTTGGAAGTGCCAACAGTTGGAACAGGCAACTGCTATAATGAGGAACGCAGAGAGGAAGTTGGGAACACAGGGATGGGTCAGGCAGACCTGTTCCATATGGTTAGGATTCTCAAGGGTAGGAAGGAGTTTGTCAGGTGAGGAAGCAGGCAGAGGCTGCACTGAGAGGAAGAACAACGTGCAAAAACGCAGAAAGCTTTGCTTGTTTACAGAAGCACAAGTCAGTGACTATTGTTGGAGCATGAAGTACAGTACAGACAGTGATGGTGGACAAGGCCACAATAGCTAGATGAAGGCCAGACCCAGATGCTTTTGTTGTTGTTGTTGAAACAGGGTCCCACTCTATCACCCAGGCTAGATTGGGCTTGCAGTGGCACAATCTTGGCTCACTGCAACCTCTGCCCCCTGGGTGCTAAAGTGATCCTCCTGCTTCAGACTCCTGAGTAGCTGGGACTACAGGTGCCCGCCACCACGCCTGTTAATTTCTGTATTTTTGATGAGATTTCACTATGTTGTTCAGGCTGGTCTCCAACACCTGGACTCAGGTGATCTGCCCACCTCGACCTCCCAAAGTGCTGGGATTACAGGTGTGAGCTACTGCACTAGGCCCAGATCCAGACGCTTCTAAAGGACTTTGTGTTTACTATACAGAGTGAGGCTTCTATCCTTTAGCCCATGGATTCGGGGGTGTGTTCCTGAGTACAAGTGAACAGAGGCGGGTAAGGAGGTAGCCTGGAAGGTTTTTTCCTATTGTAAGCTCCCTTCCTGAGTCAGGAAGAATCCAGAATATTTTCTACCATGTGGTAATTTGGTACGGATTATTCTTTCCTTTTGATGGTAATTTCCTAAAGGATGGCAAGGTTTAATTTTTATGTATCTCCTAGCTCTTCATGGGTACATTGTGAGATAGATGCTGGTTCTAGGCTGGGTGCGGTGGCTCACACCTATAGTCTCAGCACTTTGGGAAGCTGAGGTGGGTGGATCGCCTGAGGTCAGGAGTTCGAGATCAGCCTGGACAACATGGCGAAACTCCGTCTCCACTAAAAATACAAAAATTAGCCGGGTGTGGTGGTGCACACCTGTAATGCTAGCTACTTGGGTGGCTGCAGCAGTAGAATCACTTGAACCCAGGAGGCAGAGGTTGCAGTGAGCCAAGATTGTGCCATTGCACTCCAGCCTGGGTGACAGAGAGACTTCGTCTCAAAACTAAAACAAAACGAGTTTATTTTTGGAGTACAGTGGCATGGTCTCGGCTCACTGCCACCTCTGCCTCCTGGGTTCAATCGATTCTCCTGCCTCAGCCTCCCCAGTAGCTGGGATTAAAGGTGCCTGCCACCATACCTGGCTAATTTTGGTAGTTTTAGTGGAGACAGGGTTTTGCCATGTTGGCCAGGCTGGTCTCGAACTCCTGATCTTAGGTCATCTGCGTGCCTGGATCTCCCAAAGTGCTGTGAGCCATTGCACCCAGCTAAACTTTCTTTAAATGAATGATGATTACATCACTATCTGTATCCCTGCTGTGCTTTAACTCCTTTTTTTGAGATGGAGTTTCACTCTTGTTGCCCAGGCTGGAGTGCAAATGGTATGATCTCGGTTCACTGCAACCTCTGCCTCCCAGGTTCAAGCAATTCTCCTGCCTCAGCCTCCCGAGTAGCTGGGATTACAGGCATGCACAACCATGCCTGACTAATTTTGTATTTTTAGTAGAGATGGGGTTTCTCCAAGGTGGTCAGGCTGGTCTTGAACTCCCGACCTCAGGTGATCCGCATGCCTCGGCCTCTCGAAATGCTCGGATTACAGGCATGAGCCACCGTGCCTGGCTGTTTTAACTTCTTAGTATCCCATAATGTTTCTTCCTTTTATCTGCCCCATCCCTCACTTCCCAGTTTTTCTGTCAGGCAGATTAAACTGAAAAAAAAAAAAAAAAAAAGGAAAACTTTGTTGCAGGAGAATTTGTTGTTTGTGCTGTCAGATGCCAGGTCCTTAGAAGAAGGTTGGATGGGACTCCATCCTGAAGCAGCCACTTCAGTGCTTCTTACTCACCTTTGCATTCTATATGCTTGTCGCATGTTAGAGGCTCAGTAAATGTTTGCTGAAGGAATCATCCTGTTTATTGACAGCAAGATTAAGCCTATGTTTTCATAGATAGCAAAACCTGCCCACTCTTCTACTTTGATATCCTATAATCTTTGCTTTCTATGCTCCAGACACATTATTAAACTCCTCTCCATTCAGCCAGTACTTCTAGATATTTCCACTGCCCAGAGTGCCCTTTCTCTTGTCTGGCCAACTCCTGTACCCTCTTAAAAGATTTAACTCTCCTCCTTTCTGGGAAAATGAATTCTCATAAACCCAGTTGGAGTTAGTTACTTCTTCCTGTGTACGTATTTTTTTTGAGACATAATTTCACTCCATCACCCAGGCCGAAGTGCAGTGGTGTGATCTCGGCTCACTGCAACCTCCACCTCCCAGGTTCAAGTGATTCTCCTGTCTCAGTCGCCCTAGTAGCTGGGACTACAGGCGTGCATCACCATGCCTGGCTAATTTTTTGTATTTTTAGTAGAGATGGGGTTTCACCATGTTGCCCCAGGCTGGTCTTGAATTCCTGGCCTTATATAATCTGCCTGGTTCTGAAGTGCTGGGATTAACAGGCATGAGCCACTGCTTCCTGCTTCTGTGTACATTTTTATATGGAAGTTTGTTCAGCCTCTAGACAGCTTGAAAGGTGAAGACAAACCTCATCCCTTTCTGTCTCCATCCTCATCCTTTTCTGTGTCTTGCCCAGTGTCTGGCAATTTTGCTGAATGGATGGCTTGTAAATTACTATAGGAAGGCATGATATGGCATTCTGGAAGCACACCTGAGTAAACTCTGCTAAGGATTTTTAACATTCTCTATTCAGTCTAGACTAGGCTTTTGTATAGGTGTGCATGTGAGTCAGTCTGTTTTGGAACTGGTATGTAGAAGCAACATCTTTTGTAAACTTGGAAGGTTAGAAAATTCATTTTTACGTCTGGGTGCGGTAGCTCATGCCTGTAATCCTAGCACTTTGGGAGGCCAGGGTGGGTGGATTGCCTGAGGTTACGAGTTTGAGACCAGCCTGGCTAACATGATGAAACCTTATCTCTACTAAAAATACAAAAATTAGTGGAACGTGATGGTGCGTGCCTGTATTCCCAGCTACTTGGGAGGCTGAGGCAGGAGAATTGCTTGAACTAGGAAGCCACAGGTTGCAGTGAGCTGAGATCCTGTCACTGTCCTGCAGCCTGGTGACAGAGCGAGATTTCGTCTCAAAAAAAGAAGTAGCTGGGTGTGGTGGTCGGCGCCCAGCTGCTTGGGAGTCTTAGACAGGAGAATCACTTGAACCCGGGAGGCGGGGGTTGCAGTGAGCCGAGATCACACCATTCCACCCCAGCCTGGGCGACAGAGCGAGACTCTGTCTCAAAAAAAAAAAAAAAAAAAAAGAAAATTCATTTTTACTTGGAAGGGTTTTGAGGAGGTCAGCGGTACAGTCAGGTCAGCAGTTGTCTGCCAGGAATAGGGAACTTGGTAATTGGAATGACTAGAGGCCCTTGTTTGTTCAGGGGTTCATGTGGAGATGAGGGCGTCTCCCTGAGAGTGGTAGAAGGGAATGGTAGAAGAGTAACTGAAAGAGAAGGGTTCCTGCTGGGGGAACTGGATATGGTATTTGGGAAAAATGACCTAAAGCACGTAATAATTCAGTTCTGTTGACCCTACTGTCTTCTCTGCAGAACTCACCGAGCCATCATGGAGGTGGCTGAGACGGAAAGTCCTCTGAACCCCAGCTGTAAGATAATGACCTTCAGACCCTCCATGGAGGAGTTCCGGGAGTTCAACAAATACCTTGCATACATGGAGTCTAAAGGAGCCCATCGAGCAGGTCTTGCAAAGGTGATTATCCTCAAATGCTTTAAATGAAACACAATCACATGGGCTTTATATTCTTAGTTTTTTTTTTTTTTTTTT